CATGACCGTCGGGGAGGGTAGAGAAGAAGAGAGAGAGAGAGAGAGAGAGAAAGAGAATGAGTGTGTGACAAAGCGCAGAGAAGGATTTCCGCGCGCGCGCGCTGCGAGAACACCTCCCCACGATAACGAATGCGCCGTTCGAGTGTCAGCATCCGACTGAAGCGCGGCACGAAGCGAACGTGGAGCTACGGGCGCGCGGCGCCACTGCTGCCGCCGGTGGCGCCGCACGGCGGCGGCTGAGCATATTACCGTGACGAGTCGATAATTGTGAAAACTAGAGTATCCTGGAACATGAGAAAGATAAAAAAAAAACATAAGAGATAGATTGCACATATTAAATGATTGAAATATAATTGTTAATGCTAATAAGACATATTGTATCTAATAATTTTTATCAATATAATTAAGTGATTATATTAATCATGATTAATTTTAATCAGGATTAACTTTAATCATGATTTAATTTACTTTTTAATTTAGTTGACATCAAATTAGCTATCTTTTGACTTCAACTAGTTGTTTTTAGCTTTAACTTTTTCTTTTTTCTAAGTTAAAATTTTAGTTCTATATTGTAATTGTTTTATCATTTAATCTAATTTAAAAAATCATGATATTAAATATATAAATTTAATATATAAATAATATTTCTTGAAATTAATTTATTTTATTTTAAATTAATTTAATTTTAATGCAAAATTTAACTAATTTTTTATTCGGTTTTTATGTTGAATAATTTTATAAACCATTAACTTTTAATTTAATTTTATTAAAAAAAATAATTTGTCCAACTTTCATTCTACCGACGTCCGCAAAGGCGATCGCGCATTTATTAACATTTGGAAAGATTGATTATATCATTATTATGCTTCATAACAAATTTTCAAGAATTAAATCTATATTAAACCTCTAATCTCTCTACATCGATTGCTCCATCAAAGCTTCTGCATCCAAAAAGAATGTCTTTCGAATTGATATTTTGTACACTTTGTACACTTTTGTACACTTTTTACACTTCAAACACAAACTAACATTCATAATCCGTTCTTATATTTAAAATCATTTTAAACATGATTTCAAGATGCTATACGGCCATTTCATTGGCTAAACAAAATCTTAAGACGACTTAAAATCCGACTTAACACCTTAAATATAGGAACTGACTATGAATGACCGGTCACAGAATAAATATATATATATATATATATATATATATATAAAACACAGCAGATGAATGAAAGGAGAAAAGTGTAAATGAAAAACATACGATCGAAATACGTTCATAATGGCCGAGAGTCTACGCGCGTCATAAATTCTTTCATCCAGTTTAACTCTGCGAAGCGGACGGAAATGGAGTACATCGGGTCTTCGAAAGGCAGTGAGAACGGAAAGGAAGAGAGTGCAGGGAGTGCAGCTGACGGACGAGAACCACGTGACGCACAGTGCATCGCTTACTGCGCCTACACAACGCGCCTGGCACGAGCCGCAATACGGCTCTGCCGTTCGCCTGGCCGTTCGCTCTCTCGCCTGCGATGCGTCCGGCCGACCGTTAGTAGGCCACGAACGTTGTTGGCCGACGCGATGAACGTCATCGTCATCTTTCGTCGGCAGCGCGTTATACATCGCGTCCCCGAGGCGGCCAACGGCACGTCGCCGCGGCTCCCGTTGTTGTTTCAACGTCGTGATTGAACTGACCGAATGTGCGGCAGCGTGTGCACGAGCACGATTCCGAGGTGAGAGAGAAAGAGAGAGAAAATTCCGTTGCATTTGGCGAACGCGATAAAGAGCGAGTGCGACCGCCACCTCTTTCTTTCGTCTACTCCTACTCCGCCTTTTTCTCCCCTCCCCTCCCCCA